TAAGAACGGACCTCTGGAACGAATTAAGTACTTAACCTGAGGTACCACTGTATTAGGGAGCATTGCATTAGAAATGGGTATGTTAGGAGAAAGGCTGATGAATCTTCATGAGGACTTAGCGTATTTTTCGCTCTATAAGACGCACTTTTTCCCTCCTAAGAAGGGGAAATGTGTGTGCGTCTTATGGAGCGAATGCAGGCTGCACAGCTATCTCAGAAGCCAGAACAGCGAGAGGGATCATTGCGCAGCGCTCCCTCTTGCTGTTCTAGCTTCTGGCTTAGCCCCTCAGTCCCTTCCCCCACCTCCTGGAAAAGCCCCCAAGAGCCGCACTCCTTTTAAAGAGCCGTGCGGAGCGTGTGTGCAAAAAAGATGATGTGCCCACACAGTTAGGGGAATATATATATTGCAATGCTCTCCCCCTGTCAGGGCACAGTGGAAGTGTCTCTCAGTGTTCTCTCTAGCAAATTTACATGCAAACTCTGTGAACTTCAGCTCCTATCATGTGCCTCTGTGTGGGCTGAACTTGCGTGAGTTGAATCCAAGCAAGGCGAAGAGCTGAGGAGCTCTTTTTGTGCTGGCTGTGCTTGGAAAGAGAAGAAAGCTTTTAAGCTCTTTGCCTTGCTTGGAGTGTGGGCTCTGGGCTCTGGTCCTGGGATGCTTGCACGAAATCAGGGAAGTCAGATGGCCCAGCAAGATCTTGCAGTGAACATCCCTAGCCACCCAGAACCCACCCGCTCAGTGGGCCTTGCCTGATGAGCAAGGCAGAGAGCTTAAAAGCTCTCTTCATGGCTTGCGTTATCCACCACAAAAGAGTTTTTAAGCTCTGTGCCTTGCTTAGCAGGCAAGGGCTGCTCAGTTTGTGGGCTCTGGAAGTATGGGAGATTCTCTCTTTCCCTACTCACCTGCTAGTCACAGGGGTGTCTCCAAAGATTTGTGTAGACATGATTTTCTTGTAGGCACAGAAGCCTTGGAAAGGAAGCCCTGTATGAGATGTGATTGAACTGTACTTACAAGACAGAAGTACTGCCTTGGACGTTTTCCAGATGCTCAGAGCAGCTCTGGGGCTGCGCAGTAAGCCACAACAACAACAACATCTGTTTAAAATGCTTCTAGGAAGTGACCATATGGTCATAATATGTCGTTTCTTCCTGGGAAGTTGTATGGGGGTAGAGGGAATTGCTGCTGTGTCCCCTTCCTCTGCAGTAGGGTGGGGAGACATATTTTCCCCCATTCACTTATTATATAAATACCCCCTGGCCTCTGTTATAAACAAAAATCTGCCCTTTTTTCCTTTATGGGGTATCCAAGAGCCCATATAGTCCTTATGTAGGTTCCCTATTGGTAGGAGAAAATAACAGAGGCCAACCAGAGAATATTGAGAAGCAAAGCAGATAGTAAGCTTGATCTTTATTGATCTGTTGCAACAGGGTCCTCACTCACCACACCCAGGAGGGAGGAGGAACCCAGAACAAAAGTGTGCCTGCCCTTATATAGATGTTTTAAATTCCCTCCCTGGAGTCCAAGACCACCCCCAGATACATCATACCTACATCACAGAAAGGGCTGTCTACAGCAGAAATCTGAGTGCTTTGTTTACCTCCTGTCTGCCAGGTTACCTGTTTAATGGTCACTTGATTGGATTGCCTGGGGAGCCTGGCCAGTCTTTTTAATGATAAATACTTAGTTCCTGAGCCAGGTCACAGGCTCACACCCTATTCATATCTTAAATGTGCCCTTAAGACGGGATTTGTGAAGGAAAAGACAATGGGGAGGCTTTTCCATTTTCCTTTGACCTTGCAGAGAAAACATTTGGTCAGTTTGGGAATCAAAAATGGTTTCAGGTCGGTCTTCCTGTGCTGATACGTGCTTGGTTGGTACACTTATGAACATTTAACATATATCTAAGACCTCAAAATTCCTATCACACCACCTCAGAAGTAAAGCAAGCATCTTACCCATGGAAATTTGACCAAATTTCTCTCTCCCCTTTTAAAATTTCCAGATGCAATTTCTGTAGCACCAACATCTGGAGGGCACCAGGTTGGCAAAGACTGGAAGAGGCGCCTCCAATTCCCCCAATCCTCAGTTCCTAAGCCTTGTGTTCCAAGCCTTGCTCTCTCCCCCTTCCTTCAGGACTCCTGTCCTTTTTCTGTTTTTTTTTTTGGGGGGGGCAGGTTTAATAATTTAGACTTGGAATATATTCAGGAAAAATGTTTCTTCAATAGTTTTTTTCAGGTCTGCTGAGTAGAATATGCAGAAGAAGCAGGAGGGTGGAGTGGGGAGAAGCAGACCCAGATCCCTGCCTGATTATCATGGTTCTCTCCGCACCACCACCCACCAAGATTTTGTCACAGTTTGCTTTGGTGTGAGATAGTGAGGGTCTTTTATGCAGTCATGAGACTGCAGCGGACCCGCCTCTCTCTGCCTTGCCTGCTGTGACTTGTGAATGGATACAGCCCAGATCATCATGTTATAAGAATTCTAAGGTCTCAAATATAAAATAAATGTTCATAAGTGTTATAAGAATTTAAGGTCTCAAATATATAAATTAAATGTTCAAAAATTTACAATGCACATATAAGTATATAAACCACCTGTCTGAAATAGTACAGTCATACCTTGGGTTAAAGATGCTTCAGGTTAAATCTTTTCAGGTTGCATCCTGTGGTGACCTGGAAGTAATGGAACGGGTTACTTCTGGGTTTCGCAGCTCGCGCATGCGCAGACGCTCAGAAGGACGTCACGCGCATGCGCAGACATGGCAAATCGTGACCCGCAGACGTGGGTTGTGTTCTGGTCATGATGCAGATGGGGCTCCGGAACGGATCCCGTTCGCATCCAGAGGTACCACTGTACAGGAGAGCAATCCTGAAACCATTTTGACTCTCCCAATTTGACCTCAAATGTTTCTCTGCAAGGAGGAAGGAAACGGAAAGCCTCTCCATTGTCTTTTGCTTACCTGTCTTTAGGGCATCTTTGTGTATGAATAGGGTGAGCCTGTGACCTGGATTCAAGAATTAAAGTATTCACCATCACAAAAGAATGGCCGGGCTTTCCCCCTGTTTCTACAGTTAGGGTTGGTACAATACTTCTATTTCCATTCCTTGGATAATTCTACTCATTTTCTGTTCTCTGCAGGAGGAGGAATTTTAGAAAGCAGGAGGGTTGTTTATCCATCTGCTTTACCTCCTGACAAGCACTTGTTTCTGAATTTGCCATTTGGGTCCTCAGTCGTTGTGTTTTGGAGCCCCCTCCCATCTCCTGTTTCACTTTCTCTCTTTTCTTCATCTCACGCAAAGCCAAAATGTCCTCTTAGGCGCACAGCTGCTGCAACAGCACCTTTCTTCACTTGAATGGGGCTCCTCCACCTTTCAACCTTCCTATCTTGAGCTCTTTTCAGCTTTTCCTTTTGAGGAGGCTTGAGCAGAGAGAAAACATCTGTTAGCAGCACCAAGGCTGTCCAACCCACATGACAACAACACACCATGCAACAAATAGAGGGGAGGGAGGAATTTGTCTTCTGAGCTCGCTATGGTGTGTGCCTGTGAACTTACCTGCTAAGTTTGCATTCAACTCCTTCCCCAGCTTTGCTCTTTGGGTGACACCCAGGAAACTCCAGTACCTTCGCAAATGGGTTCTTGAGTCCTTTTCAATTCTTAGGATCCTTTATCTGTGGGAATAGAAGATACGAGAGCATGTTTGGCCAAACCAGGCCCTTTCTCCAGATGATGGCTTTGGCTGACTAGTTCAGCACCACAATTAGCATGACCAAAGAACTTGCTCTGTGCCATAGAACAAATGGGTGGGCCTTTCCTCTCCACCCTCACCTAGCTGCTACGTAGGAGAACAATGGCCAGTGTCACATGTGTGAGCCAAGATGGAACCCGCTGTATAGGAATATACACAAATGGGGAAAAGAACAGGGGTTCAGGCCAGCATACAAAGACACAATACATGGCAAGCAAATGTATTTGTCACAATGTACCCGTTATTACGAGGCATAAAGTACCGTACTTTTCGCTCTATAGGACGGAAATCAAGACCCCAACAGCCCCAAAGAGCAGCAGAGCGCACAAGATGTGGGGCATAATATTATGTTTGCTGACTGGGAACGGTTATGGACCACAGGTATGAAATTTACGGCCTGTAACGCCTTAAGAGAAAACATAATGAAAATGATATACAGGTGGTACTTAACCCCAGTCAAGCTAGCAAAAATTTATCATCTGCCTGATAATAAATGTTGGAAATGTAAAGAAAATGAAGGTACTTTTTTCCACCTTTGGTGGACGTGCCCAAAGATCAAGGCCTTCTGGGAAATGATATATAATGAACTAAAAAAGGTATTGAAATATACTTTCTTGAAGAAACCAGAGGCCTTCCTCTTGGGCATGGTCGGCCAATTGGTGCGAAGGGAAGACAGGAATTTCTTTATGTATGCGACAGCAGCGGCAAGAATACTTATCGGGAAATACTGGAAGACACAAGAATTGCCTACCCGAGAAGAATGGCAGAGAAAAGTGATAGACTATATGGAACTGGCTGAGATGACCAGCAGAATACGAGACCAAGAAGAAGGGTCGATGGAAGAAGATTGGAAAAAATTTAAAACATATCTTCAGAAATACTGTAATATAAAAGAATGTTAGAAAAGGTTGGAGAAGAACATTAGACCGTATTGGCAGACAGAGTATAATGGAATAAGTAAATATGTATTGTAAAATAAAAAATAGAGGAGATTTAAATATTTTTGAATGTTAAATTAAGTAAATGAAAAGAAGGTTAGAAGGGTTTGCTGAAGATACGACTTAAATTAGAATACAAAGCAGAGAAGTGAGAGGAAGTCTTGGAAATAAGTAAATGGGAAAATGATCTTAATGGTTTAATTTGATTTTTTGTTATTTTTGTATTGTGATTTTTTGTCTTTTGTATTCTTTTTTCTGTATCGTGTGTTGTTTTTTTTGTTTTTGTAGGGTGTATGTGATTTGTTTTTCTTTTTTTGCTTTTTTCTTTCTATGTAATCTTAAAATTGGAATAAATAGTCTTTAAAAAAAAAAAAAAAAAGAGCAGCAGAGCGCGCAGTCTGTCCGCTTCTCCCAGAGCTTCTCGGGGCTGCGGGGGAAGTCCGCCCCCCCCCCAGCCCCAAAGAGCAAAGAAGCCAAGACAGCGAGCGGGATGGATCCCGCTCGCTGTCTTGGCTTCCTCTTTAGCCGTGCGCAACCTCTCCAGCCGGGAGAGGCTGCGCACAGCTTTGGCAAAAGCCAAGAAAGCGAGCGGGATCCATCCCGTTGGCTGTCTTGGCTTCGTTTTTAGCCGTGCGCAACCTCTCCCGGCTGGAGAGGTTGCACACAGCTTTGGCAGAAGCCAAGGCAGCAAGCAGGATGGATCCCGCTAGCTGCCTTGGCTTCCTTTTTAGCCACAGGGCTGGGGCGGGGGAAGCCCGGGCTTCCCCCCGACCCCAGCCCCCAGAACAGGTTGGGGAGCGGCGGAAAGGTTGCACACAGCCTTGCCTCCGCTCCCGGAGTTTGCGGGGCTGGCGGGGGAAGCCCGGGTCCCCCCCCCCAGCCCCAGGGACCACACATTCGCTCCATAAGACGCATAGACAATTTCCCTTAGTTTTTAAGAGGAAAAAAGTATGTCTTATGCAGCGAAAAATATGGTACATGCAAGCGGTACTCCAGAGTCATCAAAATAAATACAATTATTACAATTAACAGTAAGTTTTCATTATCTCCAATAATTTTGTATGAGCCAAGATGGAAGCGTACTGGAAGCTGGAGACACAGTTGAATAAATATACACAAAATTATTGGGTTAATATAGGGGATAGATAATATAAGGATGTATACAATTTTACAATATGCAGAGAACAATAGGAGTTGAGAAATCGGAGAGAGAAGCTGAGGGAAGTCCGGGGGGGGAGGGGGGAGGGTTTGTTGGGGAGGTGGGAGAGGGAAAAGGGGGGGGGGAGAAATAATGAAGATGATTTGTATTCATGATTTGTTATGTTGAAATTGTTAATAATTTTTTTTAAAAAAAAGGAAGCTGGAGACACAGAGACCAGCTTGCTCTGTGCTGGATTCAAGGCTGCGACTAATGGGGAAGCAAGATCTGTTGGGGTGCTGGTGCTATGAGCCCCTCCATCTTATGCTCACGTTGTATAAATGTGTAAATAAAACCATGTATCCTAAAGACACCAGAATCTCCACTGACCTTCATTCCAAGGAAAGTGAACCCTAGCAAGTGCCCGGGACCCCTGGATTCTCTCACTGCTCAGACACTTGGGGTGGTGTGCGACCACTATTAAACCTTCCTGGCATTCATCATTGTAAATGGGCATCTCCAGCATCCATTGGTATTTCCTGCTCAAAGTTTCCAAGCCGCCGTTCCAGGAAAGAAGGGTTATCCATCAAGAGAGTGTCCTCCTCCATCACCTTTCTTCAGTGGAAGGGTACACTGCAAGGCCTGTGTCACTGGCTCTGAGAAATGCGCTAATCCTGCAGAGACCAAAAATCTATAGTCAGAGAGATGAAGGTCAGGAGAAGACAGAATGAAAACACACCCTGAGTCCTCCTCCTTTCTGTGCGACTGGCCTCCATTCTGAGGGACAGATGATCCCAATGACAGCTCCTTCAAGGTTCTGAACAGACCCTGTATATGCCAAGAACAGCTCATCACTAGTTAGCGCTGGGCTTTGGGAAGGAGGCGTGAAGGCTCTGAAAGGGTCCTAGAGTCCTCCCATCTCCTTCCCAAAGCCTAGTTAGTGCTTTCCCAGCTTTGGGAAGGAGGTAGGAGAGCTCTAGGACCCTGCCAGAGCCTCGCTCCTCCTTCCCAAAGCCTGGTGGCTCCCTTACCCCAGCTTTGGGAAGGCACCAGGAGGGCTATAGGCATGGGCATCAAAATTTGGCCTCATACAAAGCGCCATATTACCAAGGTTCTCCCCAGGTTAAGATGTTGTGGTGTGAAATTCCCTTCTTCTATGCAACTCTGTGAAAGGGACATTGCCTTCCCAGCTGCCCAGCTTGGTGTCTGCTCACCAAGATTTGAAGCACAAGAATATAAGCCAAGCAGAGTGCAGCCTTGGGCTTATCATCATCATCATCATCATCATCATCATCATCAGTGCCAGGCCCAAATCTAACCAGCTACTGCCTCTTGATTCTTGCATTGCAGGGGGTTGAACCAGATGACATTTGGGCTCCCTTCCAACTCTACTGTTCTCTGCTTCTCTGCAGGCCTCCCCATGAGATGTCTCCTTTTTCCACAGGGGGGCAAACCTCACACACTTCAGAGGTTCCAATCTGCTGCAATCTCTGGCACAGCTAATAAAGAATTTCATACTGAGGGAAGGAGTCCTCTTCTGGATTTCGGAGGCTGAGACTGTCAGAGATTCAGCACCAACAGCCTGTGATTTTCTGGAGGCTGAGGCCCCACCGCCCTGCTTCCAGTAAACATCCTGAGATGTATCTCTGAAGCTTCCTGCAGGCCCAGAGAGCCATGAAGACGTTCACCCAGGGCTAACAGCCTCAAGGCCAGCTGCTGTGCTGTGGATGAAGCAGCAGTAGACTCCCTCTGTTCTGGGGCTGCTGGTGGTCAGAAGAGGACACAATCCCAGCTGGGCCATTTGTACAGCACATGATGCCTCTATCTGCCCTGTGAAGAAGGGCTGGTTCCTGGAAGATCTCAGGCCTTAGGTGGGGCCCTGTTTGGCACCACACCTTCCTCCTCCAATAATACCCCTTCCGATTGTGGCCTCTTCCCCTTCAGTCCATCCTCTCCCTCCTGAAAACACACCCAGGAGGAAGCTTTATGGAACTGCAGACTGGCAGCAAGCATCACCCATAGGGTTCCCATGAGGTCCACTTGCAGAGCACAGTTTAACTATGGAACTCACTTTCACAGGAGGCAGTGATGGCCACCAACCTAGATGGCTTTAAAAGAGGATGAGCCAAATTCACAAATGAAAGGGCTCTCAATGGCTGGTAGCCACGATGGCTCTGCTCTGCTGCCACAGTGGGAGGCAACAATACTTCCAAATACCACTTGCTGCAAGCCACAGAAGGTGAGAGTACCCTTTTCTCAGGTCCTGTTTGGAGATTTCCTGTTGTGGCATCTGGTTGGACACTGTAAGAAGAGGATCGTTGAATCATAGAACTGTAGATCTGGAGGGGACCACAAGGGCCATCGAGTGCAACCCCCTGCAATTCAGGAATGTTTTGCCCAATGTGGGGCTTGAACCTAAACATTAGGAAGAACTTCCTGACAGTAAGAGCTGTTTGACAGTGGAATTTGCTGCCAAGGAGTGTGGTGGAGTCTCCTTCTTTGGAGGTCTTTAAGCAGAGGCTTGACAACCATATGTCAGGAGTGCTCTGATGGTGTTTCCTGCTTGGCAGGGGGTTGGACTCGATGGCCCTTGTGGTCTCTTCCAGCTCTATGATTCTATGATTCTAACCCCTGATATTAAGAGTCCCATGCTCTACTGGTTGAACTATCCCTGCAGTAGATGCTGAAGTAGATGGACCACTGACCTTATCCAGCAAGCTCTTCTTACATTCTTAGGATGTTTTGTCCCACAGAATTTTGTTTTCAGGACAGAACTTGTAAACATTGTTTTTATCGTCCTGTAAAACATCTCCCCTTTGGGCCAGTTTCTCCTCCTCCTTGCAGAAATCACGAATACATGATTGTCCTCCTCCTCCTTCTTTTTTTAATAAGTTTTTTTATTGAAATTTTCAACATAATAATTTATCCAACACATATCATCCTCAATATTTTATTCCCCCCCTATTTCCCCCCCTCCCCAGAAAAAAAAAGAAATAATCCACCCTCCCAACCACCCCTCCAGAGACTTCCCACTTCTCCTCTCCCTGGTTTTTCAGCACATGTTAATCCCTGCATATGATTAAATTGTAAAGATCCTTAATTTATCTATCTGTATGTTACCCATAATAAATTTGTGTATGTTTATTCAAAAGCTGCCAAGGAGTCCAGTTCATTTTGTTGTTTCTTTAAGTACTTTACAAAAGGTTCCCATTCTTCTTTAAAGTCACGGTTGTCCTTATCACATAGTTTGTGCGTCAGTTTCGCCAGTTCTGCATAGTCCATCCGTTTCTCTTGCCACAGTTCTTTGGTCGGGATTTCTCCGTTCTTCCATCCTTGTGCTATTAAGACTCTTGCCGCTGTTGTCGCGTACATGAAAATGTTCTTCAGTTTCCTTGGCAGGTCTTTTCCTAGAATCCCTAACAAAAATGCTTCAGGCTACAAATGTTAATTGGAACATTTTCTTCAACTCATTGTATATCATTTCCTAGAATTTTTTAATTTTACAACAATCCCACCACGTATGGTAAAAGGTCCCTTCATGATTGTCCTTCTCAATTTCCCTCGCTTGGCATCAGTGATGTCCTCATGCACTCAACTCTGAATGGTTCTGTGGCACAGTAGGTTGATCAATAGTAGAGCACACTCCCTCGGAAGGTGGTGGACTCTCCTTCACTGGAGGTTTTTAAACAGAGGTTGGGTGGCCATCTGTCCGGGATTCTTTAGCTGTGGTTCCTGCATGGCAAGGGGGTTGCACTAGATGACCTACAGGTCCCTTCCAACTCTACACTTCTGAAATTCTATGAGACGGCATCTCCCCGCTTGCCTCCTTGTAGGTGGTCCTCTATGTGAATAAAGCCAGGAAGAAGAAGAAACAGTCAAGGGAGTCAGGCCCTTGCAGAGCTTGTCTGAGGCCCCTTGGGTGGGAGTCCTGTTAGAATAAAGTTACAAACTCAAAAAAGCAGCCCATCCCTGGCAGGACCCCCTAGCTGGCTTAGCCCTCCGAGACCCATGGCAAGGGTACCCAGCCAGCCCCACCTCTGCACGGGGGCAGGGGAGATCATCCCAGAGAAGCAGCATTGGGGCAGGGAGTAGGGAGATGCATAATGGTAAAGGTAAAAGGACCCCTGACCATTAGGTCCAGTCGTGGCCGACTTTGGGGTTGCGGCGCTCATCTCGCTTTTTTAGGGAGCTGGCTTACAGCTTCCAGGTCTTGTGGCCAGCATGACCAAGCCGCTTCTGGCGAACCAGAGCAGCGCACGGAAACGCCATTTACCTTCCCGCTGGAGCGGTACCTACTTGCATATCTACTTGCACTTTGACGTGCTTTCAAACTGTTAGGTTGGCAGGAGCTGGGACCGAGCAACGGGAGCTCA